CTGTACATTTGAACAGAGATCTAAGTCTTCACCCAGAGGAGAGAATCTATGCAGGGGTGAGGTATGGGGGGTTTCAGAGAGAATTAAGTAAGCTCATCTACAAAGATCTCACCATTGCAGCAGAAGTTACACATCCCTGGAGAAGCACCTCGCCCCAAGTTGCTGCCAGATCCAGTCAAGTCACAAGCAGAAACAGGGACAGACAGGTAACCACCCAGCAGTAATGCCCAGCTATTGTTACCAGCTACCTCTTTCTGCAGGACCATGCTGTCCTTGTCACAACATGTCATAACACAGCTGTTCTGAAGGGCTGAATATGAGCTTAGAATCCACAACTAGTTTCTTTAATTTTTGGGTTAGATATGGAATGTTTTGTTAATACTATATGAGAAAAGTAAGTTTCAGATGACACAAAGTAACCTTTGTAAATTTTTCTGGCCTATCTCCTGCCCATTTTCCTGGTGGGGACTGTCACATCAGAAATGAGGTGGAAAGAAAACAGCAATCAAGCATTACATCTTAAAGGAGGAAGAATAACTTGGGGCAAGTTTCTTCTTTTTTTCTACTTTCCTTTTATTTTTTCTTTTCTCCCTTAAATCACTCTGCAGTGTATTTTTGGTAGAATGCACTATTCTCAGTGTTTAGAAGAGTCTAAACAAAGTTTGCTTATGTAAGGTTATAATATCTCAGGATCAATCCCCAGACAATGAGATTACAGGATTTTGGAGGTTCTCTCTCCTGGGAAAAGCCAATAGCTCCAGGCTGTCCAGATTGTCATAAACTTTTTCTATTTTCACAGAAAAGGGAAGGAAACAACAACTCAAAAAAAAAAAAAAAAAAGTGCTAGAGAAAATACTGAATATATAAAAGAAAACAAAAAGTAGAAGAAAGGAGCATTGTTTTGAACAGGGCTTCAAGTCAGTTCAATCCAGTTCAATCAGGGCCAACTGAGAGAAATCAGAACAGAGCGGAGGAATTTTCAAAATTTGAGTGAAATGTAACAATAACTGGAATGGGAAAAATTACAGACTGAAGCCCTTTTAGGAGCCTGGTGCAGGAACCTGAATTATTGCCAGTACTGTGAAGAGTGACAAACTTTCAAAGCAGTGTAGTCTCCATCATCTCTGAGGGGGCACCGTTGTATCTGACTCTTTGGTCAAAATATTTGGTTTCTATGCAAGACACACACTGTCCTTATTTTCTAAGAAGGAGATTACATTTCTAGCAGGGTGTTGACTCTTAATTTTTCCCATTCTGGTTATCCTTTTGGCTCATCCATGTTTTCCAAATTTGGGTCCATTACAGTTTTGCTGTATCAGCCAGAAACTGGTTTGAAGCTTTGGTTTTGAAGAATAAAGGGACATTCTTGCTTTGTTGTTGTTATGTGCCATGGAGTTGGACCCGATTCTGAGGCAACATCACTATGGAAGTAGATTGCCCAGCCTTCCTTCTGAGGAGTGGCTGGTGGGTTAGAACCACCAGCCTTCTGGTTAGCAGTCAAGTGCCTTAGGCACTACACTACCAGAGCTTCTATTCTTGCTTTAGTGGGAATAATAGATGAAATTTGAGTACAGAGACAAAATTTTCTTTCAAAGATGATGAAATAAGACCTAGAGAGTTTAAGCTATTTGTCCTAGGTCATACAGTTAGTGGCAATATCAGACATAAGTAAGATCTTTGACATAGGGCCAAGACTCTTTCTATATGACAATGTCTTTGCTCTCCCTTTAGTAGAGGAATAGAAACTGTGGATTTTGAAAGGCAGAACCTCTAGGTGAGGCAGAAGATAGTATTTTTGCATTAAACAAACTGAGAATTGAGCCACAGAGTGATTTAGTGTTGGAGTCATCAACTGGGGGTGATTTTGACTCCCAAAAGATATTTGACAACATCTGCAGACCTGTTTAATTGTCACAAGTTGGGGGGTTGGGTAATGAAAGGAAGTTACTGTTGACATCTTGTTTGTAGAAGCCAGATGCTAGTAAATATCTTACAGGGCACAGGACATCCCCACAATAGAGAATTATACAGACCAAAGTGTTAATTGTACTAAGATTGAGAAATCATGGTTTACTGACTTACTCAAGGCCATATACGTTGAACAATAAAGGTTTGTTTCTGGAGATTATTCACTTAAAACCTAGATTTCTGTTATTAGAAATAACAGAAAGTTTGTACAATTCGAATCATCATCCACGCTCCTTTAGCACCATGCACCCAGCTACTCTGCAAACTCCTTGCCAATCATCAGTATTAGACTTAGTTGTGACCACTGTAAACATATTTGTCTTTGGGGCCCAGCCATCTGCTCCTGCCTCTTGTTCCCACTTCTCTCTACCTCTTATCATGTCCAGCCCAGGTCACACAGCTCTATCCTTAGCCTTCCTGTCAACACTTGTTCCCAGTAAAGTTCTGTTTTCCACCACTTACATGTTGGGATGAGATGAAGTGGATGTGTTAGCCCTCCCAAAGAATTTGCATGTCATGATTAATTTCTTGTCCACTATTTGGACCCTGTGAAAGGAATTTTGAGCCTCAGAAACCAGGCTGGCAAGGTCTTTGAGAAAGTTAACAAAACAACCAGGCAGGCACTGTCCGTTCTACCTGGGCTGGGCTATCTCCTGAGGCAAATACACAGGGCCAAGGTTCTCTGAGTCAGAGTTCTGGCTACAGGCTCCCAATTTCAAAACACTTTCTCTGGTAGCGTAGTGCCTAAGCCACTTGACTTGAGAAATTTGAGGGAAATTTGAGGTTTTCTTTTTCTTCCGTCTTTGCTTAAGTTCCCAATTTCTTGATAGACTTCTAGGATTTGTGAACAGGAAGGGAATGGTCTGAATGATCAGAAAACACAGTTCTTTTCTTTTCTTTCTTTCTTCTTTTTTTTTTTTTTTCATATTTTGTCTTGAGGATTAAGCTTTATTTTTAAAAATCATTATAAATAAATCAATTTGAAAAAAAGTCACAGAGCTGGTGTAAGGATTGAGGAAGGTAATAGATGTGAAAGGGTTTTGTTTTGAAAACTACCAAACATTTTACATATGAGAACAGTAGTAATGGTGGAAATAGAGTTATTGCTCAAGCTGCCCAGGACAGGGTCTTTGCCTCTAAAATTCAAAGTACCCCACTCTACACGCTCAAAACCAAAACCAAACTGCTCCTCAAATAGATCTTCTAGTTCTAAACCATGTAATTGAGTTATACATTTTCAAAATTAGAACTTCATAGACTTTTTATGATTAATGAAATTTCAAGGCAATTTGCATTAGGATTGTGTGTTTAATTCAAGATTTAACAGCTTCCACTTGGCCAAGTGCCACTGCAGACAGTATTAGGTGAACTGCTTCGTATTTGCTTCCCTCTTGCATGGGCTGTGCTAGGTAGTGATTTCTGGATTAGTAAAAATACACAAAATGAATAAGTAAGCTTAGGCTGCTGAGCAGGCCATTTTAGGATGCTTAAAAAGGAATTAATTTATATTTGACCACTGCTAGCTATTGCTTCCCTTTTCATGGCAGATCTATCATGGTAACTTCAAAGAAGAGGGAATGGGGAAAGCTTGTCTGTAAAACAATTGCAGTTTAATATGTGTTGTAATAACTAGCTCTCATAAAGAAATTCTTGAATTTTTTAGAATTCATTGCTTTTCATTATGTAAGCTAATAGCAGAAAACTGTCTGTATATGTTGGTTTTTGCCTTATTTTATTTATTAAATTTACAAGTAGGTTTCTTATTCATAAAATAAGAATCTCTTCTTCTTAAAAGCTAATCAGAAATTACATCTCATATCATCATCAGACTAATATTCTTATATTAATATTGATTTTACTTAATTCAAAAGAATACGCAAACCAAACTTGAAGATAAAATTCTTCCTGAGAGAAATTTTTAGAAACTTTAAAGATATTCTAAATAAAATAATTTTTGTTCTCAATTTCTGATGATATGAAATACCACCCAGCCTAAGGTTTCTCCAGGAATATTGAGCTCCTGAATTGGATTTCATACACTTTTATACACTCAGGAGTTGACTCTATGTGCTATGTAAATCGGTGCATTCCAGAACTGCAAGGGGTCTACATGTCAGTTTAATCCACCAACCACACTTTAGTCTTAACCTTCCCACTTATGGAAGTGCTATCACTCTTTCAGTAAGCTGTTCCACTGTAGGATCTCTGCACTCCCAAAGATGCTTCAAGATCTTGTACAGAGAACAGTGTGGGAAGCAAAATGTATCTGGACTTGAAGTCAGCAGACCTGGGTTCTACTGAGGCTTCATTACTGACCTCATCCTATTCTATTGTATTCTAAGTTGTCAAACGGCATGAGTGATGCCTTCCCTACTTATTTCATGGGACTTTTGTGAAAAATAAAAAAATAAAATAAAGTATAATCCAAACCCACTGCTGTAGGTTGATTCCAACTCATAGCAACACTACAGGACAGAGCAGAACTTTCCCATAAGGTTTCCAAGGCTGTAAATCTTTATGAAAGCAGACTGCTACATCTTTCTCCTGTCTGTGAAGTATAAACACGCATTTATCAACTATGAAGCTATGGTGAGGTATCATTGTAATATAAGCTAGGATTAGATAGAGTTGCTTATTTCTTTATTCTTAGTAGTGGTATGAAAAGTTGGGTTTTGTGTGTCTTTTCTTTTTGATCAATTGATCAATTGATTAATTATAGTCACTGACATTGTGTCATGGCCACTCCTCAGTCCCAAGACAAGAGTTTCTTAAGAATAATGGGTCTGTAACATCATGTTATCTATCACCATCTATCATCATTTTTTAAAAGTCAAATATACATACAGTGTTGAGAAAATAATTCCGTTCTGCTTAGGAAATTCCTAGAGCTATATAGTATGTCATAATCCAGACTCCTACAAATGAAAGTTTATTAAGTGTTAGTCATCATTTTAACAGCTTAATTAACTAGCATCTATACTGAAACAAATGACATGTGTTGTAGATTTTGATAATCAATAGTTGTTGCTTACCATGGCAGACCCAACGCGACTGACTTTGATGGGATTTCCTCTACCAGACAGGTCCATTTTTGCTTTGTCCATCACGTATAGGCATGCATCAAGGATTCCATCCTCAAACTATCCAGGAGAAAAGAGAAGGAAAAGCTACTTAATATCTGATCTACAAACAAGGTATTCTCTGCTTAAAAATAAAATGTATATATAATCTAATTAGAGTATTTTGTAGATAGTAATCTCTCATAATATTTAGTAAGATATATCAAAGTGAAAGGAAGAAGTTATCATTTTTTTCTTTTTCCAGTACGAGTTAACAAGACATATAAACAAATCACAAATATAAACAGAAATACTAGATAGTTGATCTACTCTCAGAACATGGAGTGACTTGAACTTCTTCAGAAGGCGGTACAACTAAAGTTAGACAATCTCTCCAACATATCCAGTGTCGAAGGCAAAAGGAGAATTTATTATGATTGAAGTCTTGAAACTTCAAAAGTAACATGAGTCATGGGTCTTTGGGCATCTTTAAAATAAATGACTGTCAGGTGTATCAAAATAATATACTCAAGGTGTAGTTAGCTTGTACTTGGAATAGTACAAGACCTAATCCAATGAGTGTCAGTCTAAGGTTCTTACTCTTCTGAGACAGGGTGGACCCCAGGGTCAAAGAGAAGGCAGAGAGAGCTATAGAGATTAGATTGTATGGTCAAAGACATTCCTGGTGGTCAGTTCAATTTGCTTAGGTAAAATTGCTGTTGTTGTTGTTGTTATGTACCATCGAGTCGGCTCCGACTCATAGCAACCCCTCCTTGGGTTTCCGAGGTGGTATCACTATGGAAGTAGATTGCCCAACCTTCCTTCCAAGGAGTGGCTGGTGGGTTTGAACTGCCAGCCTTCTGGTTAGCAGCCAAATGCCTTAGGCACTATGCTACCATGGAAAATACCAGAATTTTCTAAGAAAGGAATGTTGTTGTTGTTGTTATGTGTGATCGAGTCGGACCCGACTCATAGCGACCCCTCCTTGGGTTTCCAAGGCAGTATCACTATGGAAGTAGATTGCCCCATCTTCCTTCCGAGGAGTGGCTGGTGGGTTTGAACCACCAGCCTTCTGGTTAGCAGTCAAGTGCCTTTAGCCACTATGCTACCAGAGCTCCCAAGAAAGGAATAGAAATGATATAGTAATAAAATGGCCAGTCCTGATACTGTAACTCAATGTATTAGGACCCTTCCTTAATACAAGAATCTTGCATATCACTCACCCAAATACTTGTGATAGAAACCATAATCTTAATGGTGATTACTGTGTAATTATTTATTAAATCAAGTTAGGATACGAATTTTGCGGGTACCCAAAATTGAAATGATGGATGCAGTAAAGAGTAATTGCACTAATCCTTCAGGCATATAAATAACTCATTACTCTTGTTCTTATTAAGCGGCATTGCTCCACTGTGTCAATGAGACATGATAGAACTAATAAGAGAGTTAAAGAAATAGTCAAGTAGCTTGTTGTTTACTATATAACTGAAGACAACTCACGTGACTTGTTATTTTGGCTGGAGGAACCAAATCAACTGGCTTTTCAATTGATATTGGATATGACAGTGTCTGTGCTCAAAGGTGATTATTGTTAGTTGCTGTTGAGTTTGCTTTGACTCATGGTGACCCCATATATAACAGAGCACAATGTTGCCCTGTGCCATCTTCACGATCTTTGGTATTCTCAAGTCCACTGTTGCTGTCATTGTGTCAGTCCAGCTCATGGAGGGTTTTCCTGTCCCTCCACCTGACCAAAAATGATGTACTTTACCTGAAATCAATGCCTCCTGGTGACACATCTGAAGTGAGTTGAAGTCTCAGACAATATTCTGTAATCCATAGGGTTTTCATTGGCTATCTTTGGAAGCAGATCACTAAGCTTTTCTTTCAAGTCTGTCTTAGTCTGAAAGTTCTCCATTGGTGACCCTGTGGAATTTGAAATACTGGTAGCATAGCTTCCAGTATCACATCAACACACAAATCACCATAGTATGACAAATTGATAGATGAGTGGTGGGTTTCAAGGCATGCTGGCTCAGTGTCATCCTACTTGGGACACTTTCCCAGTTCTGCTTGCTACTCACTTTATTAACTTTCCTTTTTATTGGCCATGTATACTTTGTCACATTAGGTCCATAAATAGAATCATACCTGAAGGCTAGGAATTGAAGACCCAAGACAAGGGCATCAAACAGGGACCGTTTACCCAATACTTGTGCTTACTTACTAACCTGTAGTGTTATTACATTTGCTTACTGGGTACTCGCTCCCTGTTAGGGCTTATAAATTTGAAAAAGCCTTGATTCTGGAGGAAGGCACTGTGGCAGGGGGAGAGAGAGAGATGCCAGACATACCTAGAAGCAGAATCTTTGATGTAGTGAGAAAATGTGAAATTGTTCATTAGAGATTAGTAAGTAAGCATAAAAAAGCACATGAAATTCTGTGCTTACCTTGACTACTGTGTAATGAGATAATAGGCAATAGTAAAGGTTATGTGGACACTCAGGAAGAAGAGGGCTTGTAGCCAGGCAGGGACTCAAGAACAGGGCATGAGAATATAGTCTACAAGCTTGGCAGGACATCAGAATGCAAAACAGCCAGGGTGAGGAGCTGTTCTCAAAGCTAGTTGGATAAGAAAAGAGCTACCAACAGTCAGGCTGGAGCTGGAGGTAAAGGATTTAGAGAGCTCCCAGATGGAAGACAAAACAAAATATAAGAAAAGGAAAGCAAGAAAGTGTCCTCGGGGCAGGTAAAATTTCTCTCTGGATCCACAGAATAAGAAAACCTGATTCCAATCTTCTCAGCCAAAACTCTGAGAAAAGACACATTCATCTCCTTTCATGTTGTGAATGAAAAATAGTTTTTGAATCACATGGCATGTATTCATTAATTTATGGAAATGTGATATAATTCATTTGTTCTACTATTGAAGATACCACACTGAAAGTTTGAATAATTTAATATCTTAGAGGAATGACCATTTACTGCTTTATATCCAGATAGTAGCTTGAGGGTACAGCTGATAAGATGTCTGTAATTCAAAGCCCAGGGGCCCCTCCTTTGATTTATGGGTAACATTCCTTTCTAATTAGTAGTATCCCATATATACTAGTAAGGATCTCTGGTGGCATAGTGGATAAGGCACTTGACTGCTAACCGTAATGTCAGCGATTCAAACCCACCTGCAGCTCCATGGAAGGAGAACTGGGTGATCTACATCCATAAAGATTTACAGCCTCAGAAACCCAATGGGGGTTGCCATGAGTTGGAAACTATTCTATGGCAGAGAGTTTTTTTGTTTGTTTGTTTTTTATATCTATACTAAGAAAGAACTCTAGTGGTTAGAGCTCCTGGCTGCTAACCAAAAAGTCAGTATTTGGAACCCACTAGCTGCTCTGTGGGAGAATGATGTGGCAGTATGCTTCAAAAGATTTAGAGCCTTGGAAGTCCTATGGGGAAGTTCTCTCTGTCATATAGGGTTGCTATGAGTCAGAACCGACTTGATAGCAGTGGGTTTCATTTGTATACACTAATACACCAATGTTATTATTTTTTTTTTTTTGAGTTGGACACACATCTTGAAGTATCCTTTGCATCATTATCAAAAGTCCATTCTTTATAAGGAAAAGAAAACCAGTCCATTCCAGACAGCATAGCAATGTCTGCGCTAATGAGATTTCACTGTACTGAGATTCCAAAGAATTTTTCAATACAGTGATGTGTTATCCACAGAATTGCTGATCTCCATAACATTGTAATAACTGAACACATGTGGTTTCAGTTGATAAATTATGCAGCTGTCTTTAAAAGTCTCTACTCCCATGCTCTCTGTCTTGGAGTCTCAGATCCTAGAAAGCAGGAAATTGTACTTGCCTAACATCGATATATGGCACTTGCAGTGATTCATGGGACAAAAATATTAAATAAAAGTGCCCTTGACAATGACAAATTTTAAATGGCTCACCTGACCATAGTTCCAGCTTCTGTTCTTAATGTCCTTGACGTCTCCATGGAAAATAACTCCTATGTCATTCAGGACATACTCTTCTCGTTCTCTCTCATCATCCAGATACACAGCATCCTCTGCAGCAGGGTTCAAACATCATGGTCATTATCAAACCAAACTGTTTTCAAATGCTTGCAAGCTTACTTTTTTCATTAACAACAATCTGAATCAACTAAATACAAAAAAAAAGAAAAGTCTTTTGTTTCACTAAGCAGAGCTCATTCCCAATACATAATTTGTAGCAATGGTGAACATAATCAGCACCAAAAGCTGATGATGCTTGATGCAAAATGCTGACAAATTGGACTTTGCTTTGTAAGCGTCATACAGGACAATTAAATTGACAAGTCGCATCAAACATTTTGGGATTCTAGTGCAATGGTAGTTTTAGAATCAGGATTCTATCGTGTTGATACAAATCTGTAACACAGATAAACGTGTAATTTCCAACCTATTAATGCTTATGGGAGCTCTGGTGGCATAGTGCCTAAGGCACTTGACTGCTAACCAGAAGGCTGGAGGTTTAAACCCACCATCCTCTCCTCGGAAGGAAGATTGGGCGATCTACTTCCGTAGAGATACCACCTCAGAAGCCCAAGGAGGGGTTGCTATGAGTTAAGATCAACTCGACGGCAGTGAGTTTGGTTTTGTTTGGTTTATTAATGCTTATAGAAAATGAGCCAAATTGAAAATTGCTTTGAAAACAAGCTTGGGACACATTAGAAGATACCTTTTGCCATTGAGTCGACTCCAACTCATAGTGAACCCATGTATGTAGAGTATAACTGCTCCATAGGGTTTTCAAGGTTGTGACCTCTCAGAAACAGATTGCCAGTCCTTTCTCCTGTGGGTGGATTCAAACTGCCAACCTTCCAGTTAGTAGCTCAGCACAAACCATTTGTACCACTCAGGGACCTTCATTGAAAGACAACATTTATCATGCCTGGTTTGTGGGCAGAGGAGGGAGACTGGAGGCAATCTTTTTTTAATAAACAATCCTTGTGGATGTGTTGGCAGATGTGTGTCCAACCAGACTTCTTGGCTAGCTGCCTGTAGTGCAAGGGCTTTTCTTACCTGTGACTATAATCTCAGGAAGGTCATGCTTCCTGTCTACCTACTTAGCAATCAATCTACTGCTTATTCCAAGACCAAGTGTGAGAGAAGCAAAAGTATCCTTAATACAGACAGGATGACACAAGTGCACATTACACTCAGGTAAGCTTGCATGTTTGGAAGAACAGAGTCAGTCTCAGTTCTGACTGGAACATGGTTCATTACATTTCTGTCTTTAAGCAACTGGTTGAATGAAGTATGATAATCCATATGTTGTTGTTGTTATGTGCCGTCGAGTCGGACCCGACTCATAGCGACCCCTCCTTGGGTTTCCGAGGCAATATCACTACAGAAGTAGATTGCCCCATCTTCCTTCCGAGGAGTGGCTGGTGGATTTGAACCGCCCCCCTTCGGGTTAGCAGTCAAGTGCCTTAGCCACTATGCTACCAGATATAATGAAGTAAAATTCAAGTATATAAACGCATGAGGAAGATAACTTTCCACTGCTGTATAGGAATATTTGGATCTATTGTTAGATGAAAAAAGAAAAAAAAAGGTGCACAAAATGTGTAGTTAACTACTTTTTATGTAAGAAACAGGGGAGAGAGAGAGAGAGAGATGATGGATAGATAGATAGGTAGATAGACAGATACATACATACATGCATACAAACACATATTTCTTTTATAGTTTAGAATGTAGAGTTAAGAGAAAAATTAATGATTTTCCAGGAAGAAGGAAGGAGGGTTGAAAGTTAAGCTTTTTCCTCTGAATATATTTTGGTTTCATAAATTTGACTTTACAACCTTGTAACTGATCAGAGTATAAAACAAAATGAAATAAAAATTAAAAAATGAAGCAATTTCTAAAAAAAAAAAAAAGAAGAGGAAGGAGGAGAAAACTGAAATGAAACAAATGAACTTGGCTATGTATTAAGTTAGTGGCTTAACCATAAAAAAGAATTATTCAAGTTACTTTATTTTTAATATATTTTCTTTCTCTTCTTCAGTGCCACCATGTTGATCTCTCATTTTTGGTACATTGTCCTTTGTTCACCCAAATCACTACATGTTTCTTCTTACCTAGCAGTGTGCCTCCCCTCCTCTCTCACCTCTGGTAACCAACAAAGAATGTTTCCTTCCACATATAAACCTTTCTTTGACTTTTTACAATAGTGAACTAATACAATATTTGTCCTTTGAAGATTGACTTATTTCACTCAGCATAATGTCCTTCAGGGAACTCTGGTAGCACAGTGCCTAAGGCACTTGACAGCTAACCAGAAGGCTGGCAGTTCAAACCCAGGAGCCACTCCTCTGAAGGAAGATGGGGCAATCTACTTCCATAGTGATACTGCCTTGGAAACCCAAGGAGGGGTCGCTATGAGTTGAGTCCGACTCGATGGCACATAACAACAATGTCCTTCAAGTTCATTCATGTTATGTGGTGTTTTGCAAATTCTACATTATTCTTTAGGGTTGCATAGCATTTCATTGTGTGTACGTACCATAGTTTGGTTATCCATTCTTCTGTTGATGGACACTTAGGTTATTTCCATCTCTTTGCTATTGTGAATAGTGCTGCAATGAATATGGGCATGCATGTATCTGTGTTCTGGCTCTTACTTCCTTGGTATATATACCTGCTTCATTTTTCTGCAAATGGATAACTAGTCTCACCAACACCATTTGTTAAAGTAATGGGATTGCTGGATCAAGTGGTATTTCTAATTCCAACTTTTTAAGGAATCACCATACTGTTTTCCACAGTGGTTGTATCATTTTACAGTCCCACCAGGAGTGTATGAGAATCCCGATTTCTCCACTGCCTTGCCAGCCTTTTTTATTTTCTGTGTTGTTGAACTTTGTTATTAGTGCTGGGGTGAGCTGGTACCGCATTGTTGTTTTTCTTTGCATCTCCCTAATGGCTAATGATTATGAACACTTCTTCATATGTTTGTTGGCTGCCTGAATATCTTCTTTGGAGAAGTCACTATTCATGTCTTCTGCCCATTTTTTATTGGATTGTTTGTCTTTTCAATGTTAAGGTGTTGCAGTTTTCTATAAACTTTTGAGATAACTCCCTTGTTAGGTATGTCATTGCTGAATATATTATTCCAGTCTGTAGGTTCTCATTTTACTTTTTTGGAGAAGTCTTTTGAAGCACTTAAAACTTAAATTTTTAGGAGGTACCAGTCATCTAGTTTATCTTCTACTCTTTGTGCATTTTGGGTTATTCTTGATAATCTATTTATGTCACAAATTAGGGCCTCAAAGTTTGCACCTATATTTTCCTTGATGATCTTTATAGTTTTAGTTGCATATTTAAATCATTGATCCATCTGGAGTTAGTTTTTTTTTTTTTTTTTTATGGTGTGAGGTATGGATCTTGCTTCATTTTTCTGCAAATGGATAACCAGTCTCACCAACACCATTTATTAAAGAGAGTATCTCTTTCCCATTTAATGGATTTTGGCCCTTTGTCAAAGATCATCTGACCATAGGTTGATGGGTCTATTTCTGGGTTCCATTGAACCCGGACAGAAGAGAGGTCAGCCCCAGGGTTACAGGTGAGGAGAGACAACTCAGGGATGCCCAAAGCAGCAGGCTAGAAGATCAGGAGAAAGGGGATTAAAAGCCAGGAACCTGAACAGAAGAGCAATCAGCCCCAGGGATACAGGTGAGGAGAGACAACTCAGGGACACCCAAAGCAGCAGGCAGGAAGAGCAGAACAAAGGAGATTAAAAGCCAGGAAGCCAGAGACAAGAGCAATCAGCTGAAAGGATTAGGTGAGGAAAGGAAACTCAGGCCCACCCAAAGCAGCAGGACGGGAAAGCAGGAGAAAGGGGATAAAAGCCAGGAACCCGGACAGAAGAGCAGTAAGCCTCAGGG